GGAACGCACAAACAGGAAGTGACTCCTGAATCATACAGACATGAGGTTCTGGGTCAGGGGAGAAGAAGGACTAAGTAAATGGGGGGGATTATGATATAAATGGGAACATTGAATGATATATTTTTCAGAACCAGAACTTCACATTGTGTACAATATTTTGGTTGTCACCAGCTACAAATATTATGTTGCTAAAATTATATACATGAAGTTATTATGATTTACCAATTTTTAATGACTTTATATGGCTGTCTTGTTAATATTTTATTAAGATACAAGTGTATTATGTCATCATGCTGTTATTATATGTCTGTCCACGTAAGCGACTACAGGAGAGGCAGACACGCTGGGCATTGGTGCGGTGACCTGTGTGTCCCAGCGGTGATCCCGGGGATGCAGAAGGACCAAGCCAACGTGGATCCGCTCCTGTGCTTGACGTGGTCAGCTTGAAGAAAGGAACCAGGGGCAACTGGCAGGGTCACCAGGCATTTAGTGAGACCTGTGGGCAACACAACTCAGAGATTAAATCTTATTGGGATGACACGCACTTTATGGGTTGGGAAAGTTTTGGGGGAAGAATATATTTCTGTTTCAGACATATTGCGTTGACGGAAAACCTCATGTTTGGGTCTAATATATGGGGCAGTGGTAGGCAACTTCGACACTACAAGTCCCATGAGGCCACAGGCAAGACCCTCAGAGGCATAACTTTATGGACTCCGAAGTTAAGGGGGTGGATGAGTGCTATAAAGGTCAATGGAGTAAGTTTTTCCCAAAAATAATTCAATGCAATATGGCGACCTGCAGACGTTCTGTACACAATTGGTCGACAGAATGCCCTAACTCCCCCAACGGCTTTACAAGCATGATGTGGTCCGTTCCCACTGCCTGCCTAGGGTCACCTCTGGCTGCCTGACCCTCCTCAACAATGGCTGCCTGACCCTCCTCAACACCGGCTGCCCCAGTCAATGATTACCCTAGGTCTTGTCTCGCACCTTGAACCTAGTTTGGGTAGCGCTACTTGGATGCAACATGTCTGCACATAGACGAGTCAGTCATCCTGCTAGGGGTGACTCCAGCCAATACCCCCCAAATGGTTCTACGGACATCTGCTCGGTATCCTTTCAGGGAACTGATTCCTGCCGTGTAGAATCCGGTGACCCTATAGTTATAGGGTCTGTGTCATCGGAGTCCCCTTCAGGTGAGGCCGAGTTCTCTTCCCTGTCGAAAGGGGCCTCCACATACACTCAAGACTTTGTGGGTTGTCTCACCCGATTCCTCGCGAGTATTGAACAGAGAAGCTCTAAGCGTGCTCCAGCGCCCTTCTATGTCTGACCTTCCTGAGGCCTTAGAACAGGTCGGTGCCACTGGTCACTGTGACCATCCCTAACCTAGATTCAGAGTCAACACAGTCTAAAGAGACCGTCCATAACGCATTACAGTTTCCTGTCGTCACTTCAGAATTACAAGGGATCCTCGTAAACCTTGTTGCTGAAATGCGTACTGCTTTGCATTTGGAGAACCAGCCTTCTGTCATCCGCTTTAGGTCTTTGAGGTGTTCCTCTATGCAGACCGGAAGCACCCTGAAGGGTCCTGGGCACCACCTGAGAGTTGTGATGGAACTGTTTCCCTTTGAGAGAGAGAATTAGTTAAATGGTGGTTTATTCTCACTGTGGATCTAAAATTGGACCACCCAACCAGGAAAACTCTTAGACAGGTAGAAGGTGTATGTACCATTAAGGATTTTACAGACTAGCAGCTAGAATGCCTCACTAACTGTAAGGTAACCAGGTCTACTGCGCATGTGCGTGGTCCCGTTTTTCGTACCATAGGAAAATGGACACTTGCGCGCATGCGTGTGCATCGGGACATACGTGCACAGGTTCGCTAGTCTGGCGCACAGGAAGCGATGCAGTACCTCTGAATTGATCTCCCTATTCAAAGCAAGCACAGCCTGGGCTTAGTTGCTTGGTGGTCTTCAGCTGCTCCCTGTGATCCTGTTTCTTCTGCCTGTTTACTGCTCCTGCCCCTTGACCCGGATTGAACCTGACTGCTGCCTGCCTTCTGACCTTGGAATTGCTGGACTTTGCCTCTGCCTCACCCCATGTACTTCGCTGCCCGACTGGTGTTACCCCTGGCTTGCCTGACCTCGATTCTGCCTCTTGTTCTGGTACCCTGCTGCCCGCCTGGTGTGACCTCGGCTCTGCTCTACCCGATCCTGGACTTCTGCCTGGCACGGTGTTGCCCCATCCACTGGCACCCGTGCTACTTGCTGTTTCTCAGGCTCTGTTCCCATCCTCAGAGTTTGGGGGACACAAGGTGCAAGGGGAGCCTCCTCATCCAACCAGTCTCCAGCCAGGTACGTGATACTAACTCCCACTTTGAACGGGCTGGTTCATCTCTCTGTCCTATGTTGGCAGTGACTTTAATGTGTCAAACTGTTGCAAATCGGGTTCAGATTTCTCAAAAAGGATCTCTCCACCGCTGGGGTAGACCGCTCGCTCATTGAGCATGTGGAACAAATGTCTGGAGCCTCACAATTTTGTGATGGCTTGTTGTAAGCATCTAAGCTTATGTCCCACATCGGTCCGATGTCCATACGGATGCGCAGAGAACTCTGGTTACATTGCTGGGTCTTTCGGGAATATAATCTCTTCAATACTGGATACCTAGATTAGGGAAACCACAGGAGGCCAGAGTGCATTCCTGACTCAGCGTAGGAGGTCTAGGGAGAGGTAGGAGGAATCCTTCAATTCTCCTTGATCTACTTCTGCAGTAGGTGTCCCCAGGCCCACAAAGTCTAACTCCTACTCAGCCCATAGGGCTCAAAGTCAGAGGTCATATAAGTACTCTGAAAAGCCTTCTGCATGAAGGTAGGCCCCCCTCCCCCATCTGGTAGAGGGGCTCAGATGCATCCAGTTGAGATTTGAGCATTGGTTATTTTGGCCACTTCTGGGCTGCAGGGTCTTCAGTTCTTTTGAGCTTGTTTGCCGTAGTTACCGTGTGGCCCCCTTGAGCTGGAGTTATTATTATACAGGATTCATATAGCGCCAACAGTTTGCTCAGCGCTTTACAATATAAGGAAGACATTACAATCACAATACAATTCAAGACAAGATGGTAAGGAGGGCCCTGCCCGTGGGGTCTTACAATCTAAAAGCGAGGGTCCAGTGATACATGAGGAGGGAGCTGTGAGGGGATGAATTGTTTGAGAACGTTTAGGTTGTGGTGGGATCGGCTTCCCTGAAGAGATGAGTCCAAAGGGATCGCCTAAAGGCAGTCAAGGTGGGAGATAGACGGACAGGTTGGGGTAAAGTGTTCCAGAGGATGGGAGAGACTCTAGTGAAGTCCTGGAGGCGAGCATGGGAGGAGTTGACGAGGGAGCTGGAAAGCAGGAGGTCTTTTGAAGAGCGGAGTGGACGGTTAGGGTGATACTTTGAGACAAGGTTGGAGATATAGCCGGGGGGCAGAGTTGTGGATGGCTTTGTAAGTGATTGTGATATTTTGAATTTTATCCTTTTGGCGATTGGAAGTCAGTGCAGGGATTGGCAGAGGGGAGTGGGGGATGGAAGTCAGTGCAGGGATTGGCGGGGGAGGGTGGGGGATGGAAGCCAGTGCAGGGATTGGCGGGGGAGGGTGGGGGATGGAAGCCAGTGCAGGGATTGGCGGGGGAGGGTGGGGGATGGAAGCCAGTGCAGGGATTGGCGGGGGAGGGTGGGGGATGGAAGCCAGTGCAGGGATTGACAGAGTGGGGTTGCAGACACTGAGTGCTTGTTAGCTGAATGAGTCTAGCAGCAGCATTCATGATAGACTGAAGGGGGGAGGAGCCTGTGTAGAGGTCGGCCAATGAGGAGGGAGTTGCAATATTCAAGCCTGGAGATAACAAGGGAGTGGATGAATAGTTTTGAGGTTTCATTGGTGAGGAAGGGGCGTATTTTGGAGATGTTGCGAAGGTGATCTTTTGGTCAGCCCAACAGTATCCGAATTCCTGTGCCCCCCAATAGATGAGAAAGATAATAGAATTTTTGTACTCACCATAAAAACTCTTTTACGTGTTATGTTTATTCTTTTGCTACAAACTGAGGCACGCTGGGTAGAGGAGGGACTGGCCCACAATTTTTGTTTTTTCCAGCGTCCAATCCTCCTGTAGGCAACAGTATCTGAATTCCTGTGCCTCTCATTAGACTCCAAGAAAAGGTTTTAAGGTGAGTACAAAAATCCTATTTTTTTTTTTATCATTGCTGTTTACAAGTATTTTTCGGAGGCGTAAGCACAAATGGCCGATATTGAGCAGAGATATATCGTAAAACAAAACAAGAGGCGAAACACATTAAAACTTTTTTTTCTAACAAGGTTCCTCTGTACACTTTTAGTGTTATATAAATTCTCTCTACACACGGTACATACAACAATGTTTTAGTTTTCTGCTGCATCTCCCGGATTTTCGGGATCAGGATCGGGTTCATAAAAGCAAAATGCAGTTTCCCTGTTACAGCAGTGCCATAAATATCTAACAAAAGTAAAAATGTGTGCAATGATGACATGTTGTAGCAGTGGAAGTGGAAGGTCCTTGATCATAACATATCCACTTATATTCTCCATGTCTTCGGGGGTTTACTTCAATGACAGTGTATAAGTGTCGTCGATGTATCTGCACATTGTTTGCTAATAAGTTAGAGGCCCTTACAATATTAGATGTCGTCGATGTATCTGCACATTATTTGCTCATAAATCAGCTGCCCTTACAGTATGAAGTGTCGTTGGTGTATCTGCACATTATTTGCGGAATAAATTAGCTGTCTTTACAGTATTTTTTAATGTTTACATATCCTCGTTTCTTTTCCAATGTCGGCTGGAATTGTTTTCACCACTGAAAATTAGAAAATGTCCCAGTGGATGAGGTTTAGTCCTCTAGATGAAGATACACTCTCTGAAATCTCCAGTGTCTAAAAGCCTCTAGCATTTCTAAAAAATATTCTGGCATCAGGAAAGTCCAGTGTGTTCTCCTCTGTGATGTTTTTGGTGGGTCAGAAGATCAGAACATTTCCCGCACTCTGAACAGATGGCGGTCTTTTCCTCTCGATGAGTCCTTTGGTGGCGGATAAGGATGGACTTCTGGGTGAAACTTCGATCACACTTAGGACAGGGGAAAGGCTTTTCCCCCGTGTGAATTCTTTGATGGTCGATCAGATTCGACTTGCGCGAGAATCTTTTCCCGCAGTCTGGACACGTCACAGGCTTCTCGCCGGTGTGGAGCATCTGGTGGCGAAGGAGGTGGGCCTTCTGGCTGAAGCATTTGCCGCAATCCGAGCAGGAGAACGGCTTTTCTCCTGTGTGGAGTTTCTGGTGTTTGACGAGAACTGACCGATTGGTGTAACACTTCCCACACTGCAGGCACTGAAAAGGTTTCTCTCCGGTGTGAACTCTCTTGTGCTTGGCAAACTCGCATTGTTTAAAAAAAAATTTCCCACAGACAGGACATTCAAAGGGGTTTTTGACTGCCTGAACGTGCTGGTGGACAGGTTGACCATTTTCAGAAGATTTTTGGGGATGGAAGGGATCTGGTGATCTCTGCACACTGTGAAGTCCTAGCCAGATTTTGTGGGTAAGGGTATGTTCTCCACGGGGATCTCTTATGATGTCCTTACCTTCTGTACCACAACCTCCATGTTTCCTTAGGGTCCCGTTGGGGTTATCTTTGTCTGCCAAAAATAAAATACGTTTTTTTTACTCTTTTAATGGGCCTCAAACCCATCCTAGTTAACAGCATACAATTCCAATATCTTTATAACCAGAGCTATTTACATGGAGGCCAACTCTGCTCTCCATCACATTTCCTGTAATGACCATTTCTAATGTACCTGTGTTGGCCTCAGTTGCAATTTCTTTCTCTTCCACCTTGACTTCTTTCAAACCCTCCTTCTCTTTCCTCTCACCATTCTGCTGATCATACAATGGATTTTGCTCCTCCCCATCAATAACTTCAACTTTAATAGCAATCAGACCTTTATCCTAAATCCAAAAAGAAGAACACATTGCATGATAGGCAACAAAAGATACAAATGCCCCCCCTCAGCTTCTCAACAGATCAGAGTGTGAAGGCTCTTTAGTATTTGGTGAGGTTCCTCAGCCATGCCTACCTGATCATGGTGAGGGATCTCATGATGTTCCTGTGTGAAATCCCGGGAATACAGAGGACGGGCCTGAGGGATCTCATGATGTTCCTGTGTGGAATCCCGGGAATACAGAGGATGGGGACATCTCTCTGGTGGGTTCCTCTTACTGGATCCATCTGTAGAAAACACACACACTGACTGAATACATTGTCTCTATGTGTGTATCAGATGATGGGGGATCTAGGTGGACCCTCCGTACTGCTCTCTCCTCTTACCCGGTGATGTGAGGGGCGGGGCATTCTCCATCACGACGTCCTTGTAGAGATCCCGGTGTCCTTCTAGATACTCCCACTCCTCCATGGAGAAATAGACAGAGACATCCTGACACCTTATAGGAACCTGACACACACAATGATACAGTCACCATCCAGACACACCCCTTGTCTGTTCCTGGATCATGTCCCAGAATTCCCGGCACCGCTCACCTCTCCCGCCAGCAGTTTAATTATCTTCTTGGTGACTTCTAGAATCTTCTGCTCGTTGTTTCTCCCCGGTGTCAGGGAGTGAGGTGGAAGTACCTTGATGATCACATGGTCACCAGATGTCACTGGCGGATAACTCTTTATAAATACAGAAAAAAATGTATGTCATGTGACCTCCCAGAACCCTCCTCACCCCTCTGGTCTGGTTTGTGTTTTATTAAAAGGGATAAGAGTGATGTCATGTGACCTCCTAGAATCCTCCTCACCTCTCCAGGTCAGGTCTGTGTATTATGAATAGAGATCAGAGTGATGTCATGTGACCTCCCAGAATCCTCCCCACCTGTCCGGTCAGGCCTGTGTCTTATTAATAGAGATAGGGGTGATGTAATCTGACCTCCCAGAATCCTCCTCACCTCTGCGGTCAGGTCTGCGCTTTATGAATAGAGATAAGAGTGATGTCATGTGACCTCCCAGAATCCTCCTCACCTCTCTGGTCAGGTCTGTGTCTTATTAATAGAGATGAGAGCGGTGTCATGTGACCTCCTAGAATCCTCCTCACCTCTCCAGGTCAGGTCTGTGTATTATGAATAGAGATAAGAGTGATGTCATGTGACCTCCCAGAATCCTCCTCACCTCTCCGGTCAGCAGGCAGATGATCTCCAGGGCGAGGTTAAGTAGTGTCTCATGCAGGTGACCCTTGCCATTACACATCATCACTGAGGCTGTCATGTGATCTTTTACGGAATTTTTCTATTCAGCAATCGGGAGCAATGAAAATAAAAAAACAAAGGTGATAGTTGTTGGTATGGCGGATACAAAGGGGTCACAAACATTGTCTTACTTTTGAGATGGACTTGTCTGTGTCACAGGATTGCGGCCACCAAACCGCTGGTGGCATTTGAATGGCTGGACTCAACACACAGTGGTACCTCTGTTCACAAACGCTCCGGTTCGCGAACAGGAAGTTTGACAAAATTTTGCTTCCGTTCGCGACCTCCGCTTCGGGTGACGAACACATCCGCAGCCATTTCCCCCCGCTCTGACACTGGTCCCGGCTTCCTCTAGTCGTGATCACGGTCTGATCACAGTTTGATTCGGTTCACAACCAAATCGGTTCGCGACCAGAATCGCGCGACGAATTAAGTTTGTGAACCGAGGTACCACTGTACGTCATAAGGAACCAATATCACGGCCACTTCTCCACCTCCTGTATTATAATAACTACTATATCACACTGCGCCGGTCCCCCCTTCCTTCTCCCATGTTATAATGAAGGATCTTCCTCACACATTTCATCACAGACTAAAATCTATATATACACAATACATATTATGACATGCATACACATACATGTTACATATCGTCATATTAAATGGTATTTATTACATTCAGATAAATGAAACAGTGATAAAATAGTTACCTGCTGCCAGTAACATTGATGTCTTCTTTGCTCCCTCCCAAGTCACCTCTCACCCAGGAGCTGATACTGGATAAAACACATGACTTCCTGTCCTTGGAACGCACAAACAGGAATTCAAATTTTTTTTTTTACCGTAATAAAGGTCTTTGTAGTTAAAAATATGGAAGTGATTATATAAATGAATTAATTTGCATCTGTTTTCATATACACATTATATTATCATTATAGGTCTATCGGTTATTTAAAAAAAGTTTAAATATTGATGTTTATGTTTACATTGCATATTTATTTTTTATACGCTAGTAATATACAATATTCAAGTTTTTTTTGTTACGGTATTAAAGGTCTTTGTAGTTAAAATATGAAAATAATTATATAATTTAATTCATTTGCATGTTTTTTTTAATATAAAAAATCTTCTTCTTTGATCGAGGATCAAATACGCTTCAACCTCTTGGTAGGAGGAGCTTAATAGAGTGAGATCTCTTTACAACAGTTATGAAATGTGATGTTTCCAACATTTCGACCAAATGCAGTCACCACCCTGGAATATTAACCGATACCAAGAATGAACCCCACGTCTCCAACTGGTCTTCTCGACTCCAAGTCATGACCTGTTAGCTCTTTCTCATGTTATGATGGAACCCCTTTCATGTCAAGAAGAAGAAGACAGTCACCAACACCCTGACCTCTTCTCACCCACACATCCTAAACAAGAACTGCCCTTCCCGACTCCAAGTCGTGACCTGTTAGCTCTTACTCATGTTACGATGGAACCCCTTTCATATTAAGAAGAAGAAGACCGTCACCAACACCCTGACCTCTACTCACCCACACATCCTAAACAAGAACTGCCCTTCCCGACTCCAAGTCGTGACCTATTAGCTCTTACTCATGTTACGATGGAACCCCTTTCATGTCAAGAAGAAGAAGACCGTCACCAACACCCTGACCTCCACTCACCCACACATCCTAAACAAGAACTGCCCTTCCCGACTCCAAGTCGTGACCTGTTAGCTCTTACTCATGTTACGATGGAAGCCCTTTCATGTCAAGAAGAAGAAGACAGTCACCAACACCCTGACCTCCACTCACCCACACATCCTAAACAAGAACTGCTCTTCCCAACTCCAAGTCGTGACCTGTTAGCTCTTACTCATGTTACGATGGAATCCCTTTCATATGAAGAAGAAGAAGACCGTCACCAACACCCTGACCTCCACTCACCCACACATCCTAAACAAGAACTGCTCTTCCCAACTCCAAGTCGTGACCTGTTAGCTCTTACTCATGTTACGATGGAACCCCTTTCATATGAAGAAGACCGTCACCAACACCCTGACCTCCACTCACCCACACATCCTAAACAAGAACTGCTCTTCCCAACTCCAAGTCATGACCTGTTAGCTCTTACTCAGCTTCGGATGGAACCCTTTTCATGTCAAGAAGAAGACCGTTACAAACACCCTGACCTCTACTCATCCACACATCATGAACAATTTACATCTACCTATAGGAAATCCTCTCACCTGAAGAACATCTACCCCACTTTGAAATGCCTACACCTACACATTATACACAGTCTTCATGCAGCCACAGTAAGGAGGAGCCTCTCGCAAGCTGAAGAACATCTCCCTGGCTCTGACATTTCTACATTCACAGACAGTACAAATCTGACCACTCATACTACAGAGGAATCCATTTCACAGGACATTGACAGTTGTCTAACGACCATTAAAACGCTCATATCAAAGAGGAAAGCCTCTTCTGCGAAGAAGAAAGTCACTCTATGTCTGACATTTCCACACCTCCAGATAATACCTGTAATTCATCTATTCATATGAAGGAAGAACCAGACTCCTGTGATCTAGATGTTGACATTGAGGAGGAACCACTCTCACACCAAGATGAAGGTCTTCCACATGCTGGCCTTGATACACTTGCAGACCGCACATACTATATTCCTCTAAATGTTAAGGAGGAACCCTTTTCCTCTAAATGTTAAGGAGGAACCCTTTTCAGATGATGAAGGAGAAGCTCTCTCACGTGTAGAAGAAGAACCTTCTGCTTTCGGGGAACAGGACGGGAAAAATCAGTTAACCACGGCTGGAATGTGGGAAGAGTTTCGGCACAAATCATGGCTCATCTTCCACCAGAGAATTCATTCAGGGAGACGAACCTTCTCATGCTCTGAGTGTGGTAAGACTTTCACCAGCATCTCCGGTCGTATCAGGCACAAAAGGATTGTGCCGCCCCAATAGGGGCATAGAATATGAGATGCATAGCCTCAGTTAATATTAGCATTGTTATATAGGTTAGAATTTATATAGTGTGATTTGCCTAACTATTTTCTCATAGCTAAATTCATGTGTTATCCTATGCTGCCATCTAGTGGCCTTTTGTTGTAATGTACATGTTTTTCTGTGATTCTTTGTGATGTCTACGATGTATTTCCTCTCTGTATGTAGCCCCACCCTTCTTCCTGTGTGCAGTACTTCCTGTGTCATGGCCAACGTGCTCGAAGTGGTTGGTGCCGTGCAGAACTCCAAACAGAAGCTTGATCACCAGCACACACTATAGACAAGCTTCTTCTTTTTCTCTTGCTTTATTAAACTGTCACATCCTGTCACAAGAACAACGTTTCGGTGGCACGCAGGGCCCCTTCATCAGGTAGACACATTGACGATACATTCATTAAAACATCACAAAGTGTATTATTAAATGCAGCTAGTATAAGTACCAACATTCTACTTGGTATCAGCCTCTTGTAATTGCACATCAGCTGTATTACTTGGCAGGGCTGTGTTAATCTGGGGACTGGCTTCACAAATATGCACATCCTGCGGCAAATTAAACCGTTCCAATGTACAGAAGGTATTTCAATGGTCTAATTAGCTGTTTGTCTGGAGTTCAGCTTGAAAAGATGACTTTGAACCTATTGTGCCTGGAGATGCAATCCTAATTTATTATCATGTTAATGATAAACAAACTCTGCAGCAAGTGCATGCAAAGTTAACTCGGCCTCAGAGGTTCGCCTGCCTCTTGTTTTAT